GGCAAGCCTGAGCGTCTGTTCTCCAGGAGGAGCGGCTCACAACAGCGTCTGTTTCCCATGTTATTACCATAGAGGTAACTCTAAGGCTAGTAGGTCCCGAAGAAAAGTGCTCAACTTTTTGGCTCAGCTCTGGTACTATCTTCGGTCTCTAGCTAATCGATGCACCCCTCGAAACATAGGAAAATCCACGAACCCCTCATTTTATCTGCCAAACTTTCATAGCGAATCAAAACAAACATTGTGTAGTACTAGAATGACGTTCAATGTCTATCGGTTTGTTTATGAATTCCATGATCCAAGCTGTTTACACCAAAGGCAAACTCAACGATTTTTTCCAATCGCATTTCGAACCCTCGTTGGATGTAATCCGTTACGGTCGTCTTGACTGCCGTATCGACCAACTATGGTGTGGAAGAACTTGAAATATAAGCTGTTCTGGACAAAATCACAAGCCATAGGGGTTTCGCTGCGAATCAAATTAAATGGACTGAGTTTGTTTAGATTGAAAGGCATGTGGCATATCACAATCCTCGAACTTATTGGGTGTTACATTGGAGTAAACAAAGTATTCATCCTTATCAAATCAATGATTTTCTCTGATACCCAACCAAACGGACGCCGTTTTGTGTCGACTTTCCAGGTACCGTAAGAAGAAATCAAGAAGCTCTCCCGATGGGAAGTCATCAACATCAAGGCTAATGACGTGATCCAACTGTAATCAATGGTGCTGAGCGCTGCGCATGTAGTTTCGCCCTCGGACGTTCGTGGATACTAAAAAGATCCGCATTTAAAGAATGTTCATGCGAGCTTTCTTTACCTTGCTCTGGCTGTCCTGTGTAGCCTGCAAAATTGACGCAATGTTCTGATCCAGGAAGCCATCGTTTTGAAAGTGAAAATGCAGCGTTGAACAGCTTTCCATTTGTATGATATGAAACTGTTCAGACTGTAGCAAATATTCCGACACTCATTGGTCAAAAGTATCTGGATCTCTTCGGTACTGGCTTCGTGCGCTCTGAAAACTTCCACCCGATACCACCGTCAGGATAGGTTTCTACAGCAAACTCAAATCCCTGATGCTACACATGCAAACAATAACAAAGATTTTCTTTTTTCTCACTGTCATAAATGAGAAATTATATCAAGTCACCGTAATGTGAACATCTCAACTTGATATCGATATCATCTCGTTCTATCACGTGATATAGAGCGTAATGAGAACGATGTATTAGCACAGAGAACAGACGTTGAGGCTCGAACTAAATTTCTGTAAAAACTTGTGTAAAGATTCCTATTCGATTTAAGCGCCACCAACGTCGACTTCCCCTCATAAAAACCCTCTTTAACAACATGATAGCGCTGGCGCTGCACAACTTATACTAGACATTGAGTGCCGGCAGCCGAAAATTTATCGATACTAGCACCAAATTGGTCGAAAGTGGAACATTTATTGGGGAAATCAGGAGATGCTAGCGCTACGTAACGGCGACGTTCCCACTTATCTTTACACAAGTTTCTGGTGGAAGTTGTGCGTCTGTTCTCTGTGGTATTAGCAACGATTGGTAAAACGTCAACACTCACGTCAACAACGAGAGTGATACCAATTTACATTGTTTGCGTTGTACTTGTCAACGTGTGCCCTAACGTACCGAACAGTGTGCCATGCTGTGTTTCGGCACAGTGTGCAGAGTTGATTACCCCTTGGGGTCGGCACTGCTGACACAGTTTCGGCACACGTGATGCAGACTGAGAAAATAGCTGGCGTCAAATAAGTGTGTAGAGTGACCACTAGACTGATGCAAAATTTGAAATTTTCGCTCCACAGTGCTCAAACGGTTCCAAATTGGGCCCTGATTAGCCTCCCAAAATTTGAACTCATTTAGTGAGAAACTGACTTTGCACAAACCATTTGAAGTTTATATAGGAATTACTATGGAGAAACCATAATTTCGGTTCATAACTCTCAAAACTCACCAGTTCACTCTACTTTAGAAAATGATAGCTGAGCTTGTTGAAAATTTTCTCAGCTACAACTTTGTTGAAGACTACTTTTCGATCAAATGTTAGGAACAAAAGTTATTAATGTTTCAAGTCACTGATGTCTTATGATTATGCTCAATCAACTGTTCAGCAGGCAACATTGATGTTTATGGCGCGTAGAATAGAGGACAAAAATCATGGCTACTATGTCGACTATGTCACACTGCAGAATACAGTGTTGCCCACAATACAGTTCCTTAATCTTGCCATAAGATTATCAGTCTCTTAAACAATTAATAACTATTTAATTTGACGTTTGGCTGAAAAATGAGCTTCTGCCAAGTTGTAGCTGATAAAAATTCCCATGAGAATAGCAATAGAATTGGTTAACAGTACAATATGTAAAAATGCTAGAAGACAATGAACAAAAAGTTTTGTTTTCCCATAGTAATTTCCATATAAACTTCAAATGGTTTGTGCCAAGTCAGTTTCTTATCAAATGAGTTTAAACTTTCGGAGGCTAATCAGGACCCGATGTGAAACCGTTTGAACACTGTGGAGCAAAAATTTCAAATTTTGCATCAGTCTAGTGACCACCCCTTGGGTCGAACATATTATGATATGTCGGCTAGTCGTTTTGCCGGTTGCTAGTCGAAAAAAAATGTGATGTTTTTCAAAATAAGTTTTCGAACGAAAGAAATGAGATACTGCTTGAATAAATGAATTAATCGGAGCAAGTTTTGAAATACTAATTTTTGAAGTATTTATTGGGTTTTTGCTGGAAAAAGCTTCGGAAGTTTTTCACCAACTCAATCCCAATTTTTGATGATCATCATTGATGACACCTTCTGAGGCTGACAGTAAGTTCATACGAGATTCCGTTGAGAGGTTCGATACAATTTGAAGAATCTATGAATTGTGATTTTACGTTTCTTGACAAAACACCCTTTTCAAATACTATAGTAGTACAGACATTTATGTTCAACGAAAACATGCATGCAAAATTGGTAGATGAAATCCATTCATCCACAAAGTTTCATTGGAATCTAAGAGCCAATCCCCCCAAAGCTTGTATTTTTTTTTTTTTTTTCTTTTTCCTTTGGTTTGTTTTTTCCGTCGATCTTGTTTTCCGTGCTGAGCACCAATGCTACCGACGTGCCAGGAAGGCAGCTCCCACACCTGGACCCTACCTATCGACCCATCAACTCATGAACCGGGGACCAACGGCTTTACTTCCCATCCGAAGGAAGGCGTGATCAGAGATGTTATGCCTCAGAACATCCCGGCGGCGCCGACTGGGATTGAACCCAGGCCTGCTGGGGTGATAGGTAATCACGCTTACCACTACACCACCGGCGCCGTTAAAGCTTGTATTTTGAAATGAAATTGAAATTCGTCAATTTCGTCATCGTTTGAGAAAATTCAAATTTTGAGCATAAAAGGCTTCCGTAAACCGCTCACCAATTAAAGCATGCGCTCTACGATGAATTTGTTTCCACAGTCCAGTCGTGAATCTTTAGTATTAGCTGTTAAAAAGAATTAACTTAATTACCTTTAACCTCGTTCACCGTCGTTGAATGTGTCGTGTCCAATTTTGCAGATCACCGCACCTCACCGTTAACCGAACTGACACCGTTTGCCACTTCACTAACTGTTACTGCAAGCCACGTGGCCAGCAAGTCACGAGTCTATGGAAATTCAAGAAGCAACACCCGAAACTACCGTCGTCCTAGTCGTCGTCATTCGTAACCTTCTTCTACTGCAGCAGTAACCGTGCTGAACCGAAGAACCGGGCCCGGTCAATCTCAGCTCACCGAAAGCTTAATCATATGCGCATTAATCCATCGTCCCTCTCTAGAGCGGCGTTCAACCACCAAAGGAGGGCGGCTGGTGAGCAAGGTCCTGCCGAAAGGCGGTCGGCATAAGTACCACCACCTTCTTTATTGTCCCGGAGTCCTTGAACACCATAATGGCATTATGTCTTGTACTTTCTTTTGCTTTCTTTTGCTCCATCAAGGTCGCCAATTGTCAGAAAAATACTTGTACGAATATGACTTTGACCCAGATCCAGTGGCTTGGAAAATTAGCAAATCTCTGACTTCAAAAAGCGACAATTTCGAAAATATGCATCGATCATTTGAAGTTGAATGTGTTTTAAATTCCAACCTCAAACCAGGAAGTGCACCATTTATGATCCACGTAGCAACAGCGAACTTTTACAAGCGCAGTAGGCGTGTAATGCCTAGTTATAGGCATTGTAACGCAAAGTGGCAAGCAAATAATCCAAATTGCGTGACACATGGTAATAATCCAACATTGAAATAACAAAAAAAAGGAAAACAATAGGAACAGAACGCGTGAGAATAAAAGATGTGTATGTCCGATAATTAGATGAATTAATTAGGAAATTCTAACCTCCATGTTTCTGAACCATTATGCCACATCCATCGGAGGGCGGCGTGCCGAAGGTGGGTGGTGGGTGTTCTCCCCGGTAGGGTAAACGTAATAAATTGGTGGCAAAAATGTGTTTACCCCGTCGAATTACATTTACGCTCTGACGGTGCCGACGACGATTTAGCCAGCCGGAGATTTGGTTGACACTTGCCTCGGCGTGGTAGTAAATTACCATATTTGCGCTAGCCATGTTCCTAGGCGAGGTGTATGGATGATGATGATGATGATGATGACGGTTGCCTTGGAACCAATTTGTGTGATTGTTGTACAAATGCTGAGTTGATATCTACGCAACACTTTGGATTCTCCTTGTAACCAATACCGTGAACAAAAAATTGGATCAGATTGTCCATCAGACGAGAGCCGAACATACACGAATAGTGGCTATTGGTTCGGTCATGTAACGGAAACTAGATTCTAACCTAGAACGGAACCGACACTTATCGGATGGTGCTTGCCAATCGTCTAGCTCAATCATGGTTGTGGGATTATAATTGTGTCAAAGAACACAGCCGCATTTTCAGTCTGAACTAATCATTCGAAGAGTTAATTCAACTGAAAACAAATAAATGGCACTGCTGTCTTTCATTTTCGGTCGCGTTCTTCTGGTGCTGCCATGTGTCATTGCATGTGCGTTGTCCATCGTTACAGTCGACCGCAAGGAGGCCATGACGAACGAGTGTGACGCAGGCACGCCGGTGGTGGTTCCGAATTTTAAGGTAAATATAGGTCATTCCTTTGTTGAGTTTAAAGTTCTCAAGAGCTCATTCAAATCTCCAGGGGGTATGGGGCCTCCCTTAGATCAGTCGTTAAAGGTGAAGGTGGCTTGGTTCGATTCCCGATCCGGTCTAGGAATTTTTCGGGTTGGAAAATTTCTCGACCTCCCTGGGCATAGAGTATGATATTACTTGCAACAAAATTATACTAATGCAAAAAAAAATGGTACATGCATCGAAAGCTCTCAATTAATAGCTGTGGAAGTGCCGCTTGTTTCCTTTCTTCAAGTTGTCAAGCGGTGCAACGCGTGACTTCGCTGTTAACAACCTCACACACACCTCCCCCGTTTCGGAGATTGTTCGTACGTAGAAACAGGCGCCGTATGCCTTATTCGACGCGTCGCAGAAACCGTGAAGCTCCGTGGTGACGATGTGACTTCCGGTTTCTACCCATCGGGGAACGGTAAGGTTTTCTAGTGCTGCTAGATTCCGCTCAGTCCGTCGTAGCTTTCTCGCTTCAAGCCTTCCACGGCAAAAAGGGGATCCAGATGTGCCTTCACAATCAGCTTCTTGTTCTCGTAGCGGGACTCAAGCGCCTTCCACGCTACGCTGTAATTCACTGCCGAAAGCTCCACCGACTCGATCTCCTGCAGGACCTCTCCTGACAGGGCTGACTTCAGATAGCTGAACCTGTCCATATCGGTTAGGTGGTTGTTTTCGTGGATCAGGCTGCGGAAACTATCCCGGAACGTAACGGTACTTCATCCGCACCATATCTTGCTACCGAATGCCTGCAGTGTTTAGCAGATGACGGAGCGTTAACGCATCCTGTAGCGTCCAAGGTGGTCAAGAAGGACATCTTTCAGACCCTTACGCTTACGGATATCATGAACGACAATGTATGGTTTGGTTCCGGGCTCAGCTGGGTCTCCTGGCAGGATCTGCCAGTGATCAAACACGCACTGCGGGAAGGCCTGTCCACCAGTGTTGGATCTCAGATCAGCAGTGAAGCCGAACGACTCGTTGACAGGCAGGTAAGCCTTGACGACGAGTCGTTTGGCTTCACTGCTGATCTGAGATCCAACACTGGTGGACAGGCCTTCCCGCAGTGCGTGTTTGATCACTGGCAGATCCTGCCAGGAGACCCAGCTGAGCCCGGAACCAAACCATACAGTGTCGTTCAGGATATCCGTAAGCGTAAGGGTCTAAAAGATGGTCTCCCAGATCTGTCACAGTACTTGGACAAGTTGTAAACGCATTCTTATTACAATATCTTTCTTACGATTGAAAGCGCTCAGCGCCTCGTCAGTACCGTAACTCAAACGTAGTTTACGAATGAGTTACGGTACTGACGAGGCGCTGAGCGCTGGCGTTAGACGCCGCTGAATGCATTTCATGCTTGACGGATGGACATGCACATGCAATTGACCACCACCGAAACTATACAGACCTCGACTGACAGGGACTGACTGGCTCGATTTACTATCGGCTGAGACTGTTTCGGGAGACCGAAACCAAGGGCGAATCGTGACTGGGAAAAATGAGCGGGGTTATTTTTACGAAAAATACAATATGCGATTAACTTAACTGGTGTGCGGAGGCCTTTCGACCTCCGTCGTTGGAGGAGTCCTAGTTCTCCCCGTCTGATAGTGAGTTATTATCCCGTATCGGTAGTACGCAGATTTTCGAGATCGCTCTGCGGTAACTACCATCCTTTGTTTTAACGGTAACGACTCGCACATTCCCGTCTCCGCCGGCGTGAACCTCTATTACACGTCCTAGTTGCCACTTTAGTGGAGGTTGGTTTTCTTCCTTCAGTACAACCATAGTACCAACTATGTTTTTCCTTCTTACTGTTCACTTCGTTCGATTGTGGAAGTCTGACAAGTACAGATGTGACCATTTCTTCCACAGTTGCTGCGTGAACCACTGCGCTTTCTGCCAGGCTGACAGACGATTTTCAGGAATCCCATTCAGATCGAGTTCTGGTATTGCCGTAAGAGGCCGCTGAATCAGGAAATGACCGGGAGTCAACGCTTCGTAGTCGTCCGGGTCGTTACTGAGCGGCGTGAGTGGTCGCGAGTTCAATACTGCTTCCACTTGAGTCAGGATCGTCTGCATCTCGTCGTACAGGAGAGTGTGCACACCAATCGTTCGTTTGAGGAGCAGCTTGAACGATTTTACTGCCGATTCCCACAGTCCACCGAAGTTTGGCGAACGCGCTGGAATAAACCGGAACTGAATCTGGTCTTCAGCTGAACTTCTGACGACGGATGCCTGGAACTTGCTGGTTGTTGAACGCTCGAACTGGAAGATGCTTTGCATGCGTTGGTCAAGCTCTCCCAACAAGAAAGCTTCTTGCTGGAGTTAGCTGATTTGACAAACGGTAGAGAAGTTCGAGAGTCGTCGAAGATTTCGTCATTACACCCGGAGCTCAAAGACGGAATACTCTGCGTTGGCGGCCGACTTCGCCACGCATCGATTCGTCATCCATTTACGTACATGGTCGTCGTTCACTACCATCGAAAGATGTTGCATGGTGGACAACAGCTCATGGTTTCGTCCGTTAGAGAGCGGTTCTGGCCAACAAACGCCCGGAACCTAGTGCGAAAGGTCATCCACGAGTGTGTACCATGTTTCATAGTGAAGCCCAAGATTCAGGACCAGCTCATGGTGGATCTTCCCCCCGAAAGAGTCACCCCGTGTCCACCATTCCAGCGCGTAGGTGTGGATTACTGTGGCCCGTTCCAACTGTCGTCTCGCACCTACGAAGTTTCTTCCGTTGTCGCACATTATGATCTCCGGCTTGCCTCGCCGGGAAGAGAAACGCTTCAGGGTCGCAATAAATCCCTGAGCGGACAGGTCTGACGCTAGTTCCAGGTGAACGGCCTTGGTTACTAGACAGACGTAAACGGCAACGAAGATTTTCACCGGGCGATTGCGCCGGTACGGATACGACACTTGGAACGGGCCACAGTAATCCACACCTACGCGCTGGAATGGTGGACACGGGGTGACTCTTTCGGGGGGAAGATCCACCATGAGCTGGTCCTGAATCTTGGGCTTCACTCTGAAACATGGTACACACTCGTGGATGACCTTTCGCACTAGGTTCCGGGCGTTTGTTGGCCAGAACCGCTCTCTAACGGACGAAACCATGAGCTGTTGTCCACTATGCAACATCTTTCGATGGTAGTGAACGACGACCATGTACGTAAATGGATGACGAATCGATGCGTGGCGAAGTCGGCCGCCAACGCAGAGTATTCCGTCTTTGAGCTCCGGGTGTAATGACGAAATCTTCGACGACTCTCGTACTTCTCTACCGTTTGTCAAATCAGCTAACTCCAGCAAGAAGCTTTCTTGTTGGGAGAGCTTGACCAACGCATGCAAAGCATCTTCCAGTTCGAGCGTTGTGAGAGGACCACACCGTCGATTGTCACGGTTCGCCGGTTGCGAATTGTAGCGGAATCTGTGAAGCCAAGCAGTCAGTCGTACGAGATGTGTATACGATGATCTGAGGCTGAAGATATCGCTTGGAGTTACCACTGGAAGTGCTGTCGCCATGCTCTTGGCTTCGAGATCCAAGGGATCGAAGTCTTCTTCATCTATCTGATGAGCAGATGGCCAGTTGTGCTCGTCCAACTTTAGCCAATGTGGACCGTTGAACCAAAGCGATTCATATTGTAGCTGCGCTGGGATCATTCCACGGGAAATTATGTCAGCTGGATTCTCTAGTTCAGCTACGTGGTTCCAAGCGCCTTGTTTCGTGACGTGCTGAATCTCCGAAACCCTATTTGCTACAAACTGCTTCCATCTTGACGGTGACGAAGAAATCCAACACTTGACAATCGTTGATTCCGTCCAGAAAAAGCCTTTCGCCGTATGTGATCGCGAACTATATCGCGATGGCGCCGTGAAACGCACAATTGGGATTGATCACAAAGAATTGCGCGTAAGTGTATCTGCTTACGAGTTTGCCCCTTCATACAGTGTTATTTTGAATACAGGTAGGTGTGGAACTTGATCAAGTCGTACTTGGAAGACGATCCACTGTCTAATGGCTGTGCCTTGCAACAATGAGTGTTAGATACATAGGGGAAACGCTCCTATAGTTGCGGTATGTTAGAAGCGTTAGGTTCCTATAGTTGTGCATGGAGACTCAATGCACAACTATAGGAACCTAAAGGCCCAAACGCAATGCCAGCGGAAGCGGAACGGCAGCGGCAGCGGAAAAGCCCGATCTGAGTAAGCCTACTTGTCGGATTGAAAACTAGTTAGAATCAAATCGACTTCGGTTGGGCATCTTGATGTCATTTGTGACAATTGTCAAACTTTCCGTTTCCGTTCCGCTTCCGTCCACATTGCATTTGGGCCTTAACGCTTCTAACGTACCGCAACTATAGGAGCGTTTACCCTACGAGGTAAAATCTGCGTGATGCGCAGTGATTTTTTGTTCAATGTTGGCAACGCTAAAATAATCAGTTCACTGCAAGACGCCGTTCGGGTCGCACGCACTTTTTTTTGCTCTCTGTTCGTGTTAATTCGGTGTGCTTTGGTTACCGGAGTGGTGTTATGCCCTGGAATCGGATGTGGATTGGTTGTGATTATAGAGGTCTGTCATGGAGAATGTCCGTCGAGAGAGGGAGGGTTTGTTTTTGATGAAATTTGGTATGATGAGTGATGTGATGTCTGATGGTTGAAAAGGCAGATTGTTTTACGGAGCAATGTGAACGATTTCGGGGAAGAAAGGTGAAGACTTTTGAGGTGAGATGGAATTGTGGATTGCTGACGGAAATAGGATTTAGTTCGTTCTAGGCGGGATAAAGGAAGAATAACTTTAATGAGAAGCAGGGTGAAAAATTTAAAATGGCGGTATTTGTGCAAAATCTGTGAGAAAAAAAAAGGGGGCATACAAAAGTGTTAGTGAGTTTATTTGCGCGAGTGATAGTAAATGTAACAGGGGATTAGTTGAAAGCATACGAGCGGCAGTGAGATGCCAT